TTATTTTATTTTATTTTATTTTATTTTATTTTAATTTATTTTGTTTTATTTTGTTTTATTTTGTTTTATTTTGTTTTATTTTGTTTTATTTTGTTTTATTTTGTTTTATTTTGTTTTATTTTGTTTTATTTTATTTTATTTTATTTTAATAATTATTATTATTATAATTATTATTATTAGGAGTACCCATAATCCATTAAGTCCTCTTGAATAAAAATATTTTCAAGATGGCGACACTTCCGGTCATACCGGAAGTCGGTCTTAACTTTCTTATTTTAAATGGAAAGCTATATTTTTTACTGCGTTTTTGGATTAATTAATTATTTTAAGGGAGTTTTTATCAGCTTTCTCTATACTTAAATTTAACCATTTTTGAAATATTTGGAGTTTTTCAAAAATTTTTGGATCTGCACCTTCCACTTTAAAAATCTCTAACTCTTCTATTTTTTAAAATTCTGAATTTGTTTTTTTGGAGTTTGAAAGAGAAAACTTGGATCTTTCTTCTGGTGTTTTCAAATTAAAAAAAAAATTAAGGTTACTTTTGTAATAATTTAAATACCCACAACTTAGTTTTGAAAAATTAAGTATGTCTTGGAATTTTTCAAAAAAAATTGAAGTATTTTTTGCCTTTTGTGCTCAAAAACGACAAAAAGTTATTAAGAAAAATCGTTTAGAATCAACATCTAGGTCCATATACCATTTTTTTATGTTTATTATTGGTCGAATTCAAGGAAATTTTATCATTTGAGACGAAATTAAGAACAAAAGTGCAAAATTCGGGAGAAAATACACAAAATTTGACTTTGTGCGCGGTATGAATTTACATTTTGGACATTTTAGAAAAATCCTAGAATCATAATTTTTTGTGTAAACAAAACAAAAATGTTCGAATTACTTTGTGACGTGGCGAATCGGCGAGATTATGCATCCCCGAACAAAAACCTTCTACACCGGAACTGTTACAAAATGGTTTTTGTGCCGTTTTTGAGGAAATTATTACAATAACGAGTCAGTCTTAGCCAAGTTCTCGTACAAATCACTTGTCCGCATAAATTATTAGTTATTATTTCGTGGTTCAGTGCGAAATCGTGTTGAAATGGGGGCTGTACACACAGTGCATGTGTATTCTGTATTTTAATTTTTTTTTAGTGTTTTCAACTAATTTAATGGCACATTAAAGTGATTTTGTGTTTCTTCATTTTCAGTAGGTCCGTGTAAGAAGCAGAGGCGAATTGCTACAAAGGGTAGCAGAAAAAGATGCCATAAAGGTTAGTGCATTTTATTTTTTCTTATCGCCAAGTGAAGTGTTTTAATTTGTGATTTTTTAGTGTAACAGTAAGTATTCACTAAATTGTAAATAGAAATTAACTGTGTTTGAAATAAAATGTATTATTTATTAGATTTTTTTCACAATTTGTAGAAGATGAGTGCAAAAATTTACTTTGGACTTTTTACGTATTAAAGAAATATCGGCAAATACAAGACTAAGTATTGTACGAATTTAATATTTTTCCATAATAAACGATTAATTTTTGTTTTGTTTCGACCAGTGAGTATGTGTTGTGTTTTTTCGAGTGCTTAATAGACACTTAGTAGTGCGTGATTTTTAAAATTTTGAGTGATTAAAACAATCGTGCTACAAGGATCCGGATTTTTAGAAAACCAACACTTTTTAAATTTTATTAATTATTTTTCAACTGATTTATTAACACATTGTATTGGTTTTGCGGTTTTTTTTATTTACAGTAGGTCCGTTTAAGAAGAAAATGAGTGCATTTTATTTTTTTAATTATCGCCAAGTAAAGTGTGTAAATTTGTGATTTTTGAGTGCAACAGTAAGTATTTATTAAATTATAATTAGGAATTAATTCTGTTTTAGATAAAATGTATTTTAATGTAATTTTACATTATTTCTACCTATTCAAACTTTCCTTCTGTTGATTACAAAATATAAGTACAGTAAGTAATGTCTTCGGTAACACTTTTTTTATTGAAAAAATAAATTATTTAATTTCCGAATTAGCTCTTTAACAGTAAAGGAAAGATAACTTAATAGTTTCAAACTTAGCGCCATGCTGACCTGACAACTGACATGAAACCACACTACAAATAAAAATAAAAAATCCCTAAAATAATACACATTTTCAGCTGATTCAACGCAAAATAACCAATAATTGTGCACATTTATTAATTTCAGTGATCATGGTTTAAAGCCCCCCAGATTAGCATTAAGGTAATTATTTTTAAGTAGGTCCAAAGTTCCCCCAAACGCCATTGTTATCTTAGATAAGTGTGCAAAATGGCGTAGTTGTAGTAGTTGTGTGAATGTTATAGTTTTTTTAATTATCTTTTTACGTAGTTAATTTAATTCTACGTAACATGAAAGTAGAAATATTGGCTAGTTTGTCGATATTATTTTCAATAGCAGCCGTTTGCTTTTTAGCTTTCATAGGTAAAAAATTCCCCCACGTGTGTGCTTACTAAACGCATTTTTCAGGGTGGTACATCGTGTGGACTTTCGTCTTGAGTCAATTCCGTTTCATTCGCGAACTGTTCAAAAGTGGCAGCGAAAATTCAACTGTGACAGAACTCAAAACAGCCCGAAATAAAACAAGGAGAATCCGTCGAGAATAAGCCCCAAAAATGAACATCCGCTGTGCGAAACCCGAAGACCTCATGAACATGCAACATTGCAACCTGCTTTGCCTGCCTGAAAACTACCAAATGAAGTATTATTTTTACCATGGACTCAGTTGGCCCCAACTCAGTTATGTCGCAGAAGACGAGAAAGGCAACATTGTGGGGTATGTCCTCGCCAAGATGGAGGAGGACAACGAGGACCTGAAACACGGTCATATTACCTCCCTAGCAGTGAAGAGGTCGCATCGGAGGCTGGGTTTAGCACAGAAACTTATGGATCAAGCCTCTGAAGCAATGGTTGAGTGTTTCGATGCCAAATATGTGTCGTTGCATGTTAGGAAGAGCAACCGAGCAGCTTTAAATCTCTACAAGAACTCGCTTAAGTTTGAGACTGTTGAAATTGAACCCAAATATTATGCAGATGGGGAGGATGCCTACTCCATGAGGAGGGACCTTTCCGAGTTTGCGAGAAAAATGAAAACGAGAATTGACGAGAAAAATGAAGAATAATCTTTTTTATTTGCTTTTGTATATTGCAACATTGAATAAATACAGTTGCCAATTGTCTGTTTCTTTAATGAAAGTTTGACATTTGATTTTGACAGTCAAAATTGCCAACTTAATTTCAAAGTCAGAGGACACTTCGACCAGAAATTTATTTAAAAGCATGGTAATATGCAGCCAATAATACATGCGTGCATACTACACGAACTACTTCGTTAAATTTTCTTTTTCTTGTTTTAACATAGATTTGTCAACAAGAAGGAAAATTACGTTTTTCATGTCGTTTGTAACTAGAATTTTTAGAAGTAATTTTGAATGCTTAGGGTATGGCTATGGGCAGTTGCAACTCGTACTAAATTATGCAATCAACAATACACCTATGCACCACAATAGTACCAAAAAAATATTTGAATTATTTGTGAAACAAAACTTGGAAGTGTAATTTTTTTAAATTTTTTGTCATACTTTCTCTTTTAGTTACTTCAGTTTTTTGTTCGTTTTTTTGATAGTTCAAATATTCGAATTTTGAAAACGGTTAAAAAATATACAGTGGTTTGGAAATAACGGACAAAATGTTACAGGATATTGAATTAGTGTATAAAAATTTGTGAAAATGTGTGCTTTAGCTTCAATTTTTACGTTGCTTGTTTGCATATTTTGTAAAAAATTAATTAAAAAAATAATCACAGTTAAAATTACAAACATTGTCCATTTTTGTTTCATTTTTCCTCTGGTGAAAATATAAAATGTCATTTTTATCAAATTGTTAAATTTATAAATTGACCATTAGTGCATGTTTATTTGCTCTTTTTTTGTTCTAAAAGTTACAAATCAATCATTATGGATGGATTGTCATACTTTCTCTTTTAGTTACCTCAGTTTTTTGTTCGTTTTTTTTTGAAAACTTTTCAATAGTTCAAATATTCGAATTTTGAAAACGGTTAAAAATATACAGTGGTTTGGAAATAACGGACAAAATGTTACAGGATATTAAATTAGTGTCTAAAAATTTGTGAAAATGTGTGCTTTAGTTTCAATTTTTACGTTGCTTGTTTGCATATTTTGTAAAAAATAAATTAAAAAAATAATCACAGTTAAAATTACAAACATTGTCCATTTTTGTTTCATTTTTCCTTTGATGAAAATATAAAATGTCATTTTTATCAAATTGTTAAATTTATAAATTTATGAATTTTATTTTTCTCTTTCTTGTTTTAACAAAGATTTGTCAACAAGAAGGAAAATTACGTTTTTCATGTCGTTTGTAACTAGAATTTTCAGAAGTCGTTTTGAATGCTTAGGGTATGGCTATGAGCAGTTGCAACTCGTACTAAATTATGCAATCAACAATACACCTATGCACTACAATAGTACTAAAAAAGGGGTGTTATTGGCACTACATTTTTCGCTGCATTCCAGTGAAACACAGAATACTTTTTCTTTATGTAGAAAGTTTAAATTTGTGACATATTTGACTCTAAAAAATGTAAATGTAGCGATGTTTTTTTTAATAAACGTTTGAAATTAAATTTTGAACTAAACTTTCAAAAAAAACGTCATTAAACAAATAAAAAAATATAAAACAATCACATTAAAACCCAAAACCCTGTAAAATAGTGCTTTGTACAAATAAGCAATCAAGAGTTCATAAAAAAAGATATTTTCTCACACGATGTGCAATGTCGTCACTAAATCATTTAATTCTGTTGAAAAAAATGTTATTTAGAAAAACATTAATACTGTTAAGCATATTACAGTTGTAATTATTAATAAAAAACGAAAAAATTATGTGCATATTTAACAAAAAATTGTTTGCGGTAGGCAACTTTTAATACAACAGAGAAAACATTGCCTACTTTTACTAAAATTTGCTACCCCTTCCACACCAATTCCCCTTCCATAAATTCTAGTTCTTTATTACGATATCTTTTGTTTGTCACGAAAAACCAACCTAACCAAATTTGTGACAACCTATTCACAAATGTCCCTAAATCCTAGGGAGTAATTTCTTGTTGATACGACAATACTTTTAATTTTCAAGCTTTAAAAATATGTCTAAAAACTACCAACAAAAATTACTCATCGTGCAAAATTTCGACAAAAATCAACTAATAGGCAACCAGTTAAAGCATCACAACGAGACCAAAATTTAATTTATTAAATTAAAACTCTTACAAAACCTTAATTTATTTATACAACTCTACAACTTAATTAAGTATCTAAATATAATAATTCTGTAAATTATATTTACAAAAAAAGTGTACATTTTTAAACAACAATTCCGGAACCCATTACATATTTCTATTCTATTCTAGACATTAATAAATAGTAGAAAGATGTTCCAAATATACCAATAATACATTTTGCAACTATGTAAATGTTCTATTATGATTTACAAATCGCTGAATAAACGTAAAAAGAATAGTTGACACCCAGTAAATGCACAAAATCTGGTGCGTTGCTTTATTTAGTATTTTTTTAAGCAGTGTACGTACGAAGCGAGTTTTCTAATTTAGTTTTTTAATTAAATTTATCACAAACTTATAGGAACATGATTACACCATTCTGTGTTTCCCAACACGCTTTTCTTTTAATTTGCAAATCATAATAAATGCAGAAATGTGACTAGAATAGATTTATTTGAATGGGCAATAATGCCAAGTTACATTTAGATTTTCGCACATATAAGGACACGTAAAGCCAGCTCTATGTGTTTTTTCTATTGGCAATCGCAAACATTTTTCAAAAATAGAAAATAGAATTTGGTACTTGAAATTGCACGTTTGAGTTTCGGTGAAAAAGGTACCCGCTGCTTATTGAATCACAGTCAAATTTTTGGTCAAAATATTTGAATTATTTGTGAAACAAGGCTTAGAAGTGTAATTTTTTTATATTTACTTGTCATCCTTTCTCTTCTAGTTACCTCAGTTTTTTGTTTGTTTTTTTTTTGAAAACTTTTCAATAGTTCAAATATTCGAATTTTGAAAACGCTTAAAAATATACAGTTGTTTGGAAATAACGGACAAAATGTTACAAGATATTAAATTAGTGCCTAAATTGTGCTTTAGCTTCAATTTTTACGTGCTTCTTTGCATATTTTGTAAAAAATAAATTAAAAAAATAATCACATTTAAAATTACAAACATTGTCCATTTTTGTTTCATTTTTCCTCTGGTGAAAATAAAAAATGTCATTTTTATCAAATTGTTAAATTTATAAATCGACCATTAGTCCATGTTTATTTGCTCTTTTTT